AATTTGGAAATTTACTCTTACTACATTACTATAAAAGGATTTGTGAAAACATTCACTGGAGAAAAGGAAGTGAGTTAGGACTGTTTTAAGGTGTAAGATTTGATGATGGAGAAAGGAATAAACAGATAGGTGAGTACAAGTCACACCTGGGTGATAGAATTAAAGGATTTGTTGCTACAAGCAGTTTGGAAATACATGATTTATTTTTGTAGTTATTTATTCCTCATTCAAAGTCAATCTTGAATTAAGTCTACTCAGATATAAAAAGTAAGATAATAAGAAAATAGAGATAGAACAGTAAGCTGAAGACAAATGAAAGGTTTTTGGACAGTCATACAGGATATAAAATGTCCTGCATTACTAATAAAGCTACAAAAACTTGGCTTTTAATGCCTTACTAGCTGAAGAAAAGTAACGAAACAGCAGCAACATTTGCAACAGTGAATATTGGAGCTACTCAGAAGTGACATTCCTGAACAAAGTGCTGACTTTTAAGCCAGTGTATCTGGGTTGAATTCTGTAATCTACCCATGCTGGCAAGATCAAGACCATTGAACCTCAGTGTCTTTATCTCCAAGGTGTGGTTAATAGCATATATCTCATAGATTACCAGAACAATAACATTCTTTCATTAAATTAATATTTTTGAACATCTACTATGTCTTAGAAAACGTTCTAGCCACTGGAAATCCTCCAGAAAACAAGGTAAACAACAGGGCTCATTGGTTTCGCTGCTACTTTCTGCTGAGATTCGTTTTGGGTGAGAGGTTGTGGCAAAAATAAAGAGTAATTAGCATGCAAATGAAGGTAGAATATGTTGCTAACATAAACATGTCAATTTCATCCAAATTTATTATTTTAAATCCGTTCTACCAATCATACCAATACAATATTCTTTTTTAAAAGTAGATAAGCTGATTTTAAGTTTCTTTGATAAAATAAAGAAAGCAGACTACCAAGGAAAATTTTGAAGGACAATAATAATGAGAGGGGATTACATTGTATCCTTAAAAATAATATGCAGTTACAATAATTGAAATAGTGTGCTATTAGTGATTGATGCAGAAGAATCAGTTAACAGGCCCGAAACTATATAACTAGGAATTTGGTGTTTGATAAAGGAATCATTTTAAACTAGTGAGTGAAAAGATAGATTATTCAATACCTTGAGTAACTGAGTAGATATTCAAAAAAAGTTAAATTCAATACATGGAAATGGAAAAATGATTACTTTATGCCTATGTAAAATACTAGTCCTACAATATTAGTAAGGACGGGCCTGGGGAAAGCTAATATAATGTAGACTAAATGCTGCCTTGAAACATAGCAAGGAAGCAGTGAAAAATATACAAACAAAAAGCTTAAATCATTAGTACCAGTCGTGGGTTTTTTTGCCTTTTTGTGATGCATTTTATTTTTTATTTGTTAGAAAATATTAAGACATTCACAAGGTATAAGAATGTTACCATGAATATCCATGTACTTAGCATTCCAAATTTTAAATAATAAGCATTCCAAATGTTTGTGAAAACTGCACATATACCATCTCTGTTTGACGTTTTCTCTCTTTTTCTAGGACTTAATTTGCTATAAAGCTGAATCTTCAGACTATTATTTTATCTAACATTTTGTATTTAAGGTTTCCGCATGATGCCTTTTAAGCACTGGGACTTGCATTTTCACTGTTGTCTATGTGGATTTTATTTGTTTATCCGTATTTCTTGTGGATATGCATATATAAGATTGTTATATATTTTTAACTTCCTTTAGCAAATTTTTCAGGTCTACCTTCAGAACATACCCAGAATCTAACACGTTCCAAACCATGATCATCTAGGTAGATTATTGCAATAATCCACTCACTGGTCATTGCCCCTTCTTCAATCTGTTTTTAACACAACCACCAGAGGTATTTTATAAAATATGAATCAGACTTTTTGTACCAGTCTTCAGAATTCTCCGGTGGTTGCCAAGTCATCCCAATTAAAGGTCAAAGCCATAGTACAGTTATTTATGAAGTTCTTCCTGATCCCTCTTCCCAGGTAGTTACCTCTCTGGCCCCAGTTTCTCCTTCTCCCTGAACTCCAGCTAAACTTGCTTCCTGCCCTTTCTTAGCCACATCAGGCGTTACCTCTGTCTCAGCGAAGTTCATGTAGCTGCTTCTGCCTATAATGATCTTCTCCCAGACCTCTCTCAGCTTCTTCAAGATTTTTACTCTAATGTCATTTTTTCCCCAATCACACTATTTACATTTTATTCAACCTGCTAAAACATGAGCTCCCTTCCTGCTTCATTTTTCTCCCCACTATCGTCACCTCTAACACACAACACAATTTGCTTTTTCCCGTTTGTTGTTGGCTGTCTCCTACTAGTGACTCCATGAGACAAGACGTTTTTACTTTTTTTGTTAACTGCCATAACCTCATAACCTTTGAATCTAAAGCCTTTCCTGGCATTTTACAGGTGCTCAATTAATGTTTTGTGTTTTAGTTAATGAGTGGGAACTGGATATACACACGAGTATTACCTGTAATAGTAATGTCTAGCATTTCTCAAGCAAATAATGTGAGCTGCAAATAACAAAATTTGTATATTGACAATTAGCTGAACTTAGAGATTCCTGGTTACCTATTAAGGTTTTGTAGAAATCATAAAGGAAAAAAACATTCCCAAAGAAATGACATCCTAAAAATTGAATCTGCCTGAGGGGCAATGTGCCAGTATAAAAAAGCAATGTAATAAGCAAATCACTTAAGAAAATTGATCTGAACTGTCCTTGTCCAATTCCATCCATTTCTGTTCCTTAAGTTACCACACTGTGTTCCCGTCAGCTTCTGGAATTAAATTTATAACTCTCTTGAATAGCTTTTAGTACCCTTGCATGACAATTAGTTGACCTCATGCTGGCTTTTGGATCTCAAACAAATTCTGATGAACTACCAGCATCATCTCATACATTTTCAGTCTTTCAGATAGATTCTGTTTTTGCCAAGTACCGTCTTGCCAAATAGTAATGTGGTACATAACAAAAATAACTTTATTTTTTGTTTGCCAAAGGGAATGTTTTCTCCACCAGGAACAATCATTCTTAGGAAGCAGTAGCTAGATGTAGTCATACACAAGCAAAAATTGAAACTGTTTTATTTTGTTTTTCTAGTTCCCAAAATACATTAACATTACGGAAGAATGGGTGTAGGTTTTAAAAGCATTATTGTTTAGCAAGTCAACTAGGTATATTTAAAATGGCTCTGAAATTTAGCAATGAGGAAGGTGTAACACCAGAATAATATTTTCAGCGTATATGTACTGTGTGTTTTCTATGATTCCAACATCTGATTTGTGTTACGTCATTTAATCTAACCCAAGGAAGCTGATACTGTTTTTCATGGAAGAGATAAATAATCACTGAGAAGTTAAATAACTCACAAAAGATTGTACAGTTGGGACTCAGATTAGGCAGTCAACATCCAGGAACCAGGCTCTTGACTCTTAAAGCATACTTAAGAAGGAAGGATGCAGAAATGAGATGTACCTAGAAAATATAGATTTTTTTTTTTAAAGCTTGTAGACAATTTGAAAATGTTGATATATCCTTCCTAATAACCCGTTAGACAATACTCAGAGTTTAAAATGGCTTTTAAAGTTCTAAACGTGGTAGCAATGACTTGTGATCTGTGGTGATCCATTAAGAATCTGTTAGAGATTATGATCAGTTATTTTTATTATTTTATTTATTTATTTTTTAAAAACTGCATTTTAGGTTTTGGGGTACATGTGAAGACCATGCAAGATTGTTGCATACACACATGGCAGTGTGATTTGCTGCCTTCCTCCCCATCACCTATATCTGGCATTTCATATTGCTTCTAAAATGTGCTTTTCTTGCAGAGTTCTTAAGCTTTATTCAGCAAAGATAAATTTATTACATAAAATGAGAAAAATGCTATTTATCTATCCATTATAAATTTCTCATTCATTGCATTTTTAATATATTTTTAAAGCCACTGAAGGTGGGCAGCACAGAACATTCTAGAACAGAAGACATTGTACTTTTTGTGGTAAACTTATCTTCTTTGTAAAAATACTTTTGTGGGATCTCTTTTGGAGATTTAGTCAGTTCAGGCTGTTATTACAAATTACCACAGTATGGGTATTTTATAAACAACAGAAATTCGTTTCTTATAGTTCTGGAGGCTGGAAATCTAAGATCTAGGTGCCAACATGATCAGGTGCTGGTAAGGCCCCCTTCTGAGTTGTAAACTGCTGACTTGTTGTATCCTCTCAGGGCAGGAGGACAGCTCTTTAGCATCTTTTTAGAATGCACTAATTCCATTCCTGAAGGATCTACTCTCATGACCTAAGTACCTCTCAAAGAGCCACCACCAAATACTATCACAATGGGATTAGGATTTCAACTTGAATTTTGTGGTTGCACAAATATTCAGTTAGTTGGCAAGACCCTTACTTTTATCACAGGGAAGTGTCTGTCTTGGCTGCTATACAACTGGAAGAAAGTCATTGCTATGATATGAACAAAAAATAAGGATATATTTTCTATAAAATCAAATTGATAAATTGAGATAAATTTATAATTTTAAACATAAAGCAAAATAAAATACCTACAAGAGCCCTGCAGGATAGGTAAGATAATGTTGGTCATTATTATAGAGACTACAACAAATTTTACAGGATATGCATGATAGGATATACATAAAGAGAGACTTAAAAGTTAAATTCTGGATCTTGAAAAACTCTCACTTCCTAGAAAACGACCATTTCTCAAGCTTATGTATATATATACTGTTAATTTCAAAATGTTTGTAGAAACTCTTCCATATAATGTCATCTTCAGAGTTCAAAGCATTACTTGGATGCTTCTTGGAATAGTGCTTGCCAGTTCTTATACAGTTGAAAAAATTTTCTGTGACAATTGTTTTTTAACCACATTCACTGTGTTTTCTTCTTGTGTGTACGTGTATGTGTGTGTGCTTGTGTTGCAGAGAAGGCCAGCAGTCGCCAGAACAATGGCAGAAGATGTACGGTAGATGTTCTGGGAATGAAGTCTACCACATTGTTTTGGAAGAAAGTACATTTTTTGCTGAATATGAGGGAAAGAGTTTTACATATGCCTCTTTCCATGCACACAAAAAGTATGTTTCTGCCTCAGAGAACAGTTAAAATATCAATCAATCAATCAAGCATATCATGTGAAAGGAGTTTTCAAAAATACAATGACTGTTGTGCTCACGGGTTTAAGCTTTCTGGAATTTTTGCCACAATGTTTTCCAATGTTGAAACATTTGAACCCTGGTGTATGTATGGTCCCTATAAGATTGTCAGGAGGAAATTATAATTTATAGGAATTTTTTGCTTGGCAACTTTTAAACTTTTTAAATTTTTAAATCCATTAAGAATTTACAAACACATGAAAATCTTCTTCACAGATCTGAATTTTAAGGTGTTGATTAAAAACTAAAACCAAGTAATACAAATATTTATAAAAGCTATACATTTTAAAAGAAAATCTCTGATGGTGGCCCTTGTTTTGGCCAGAGAAGTAAGTTAAAAAGTAAACAGAACTACCTTCCAATTCACACATGGAACAGTTTTTTCTTTTCCTTTAAAAAAAAAAAAAGGATTTACTTAAAAAATAAAAATATATGTATATAATGAAAATAATACCTATCTGAAATGTTTTAGTATAATATATTTTGGAGGATTTATATCTATGAAGGCTACTAATCTCTTATGTAATGTACAAGAGCTCACAACTTACAGTGCGTTCACCTGTGATTTTTTTGACCTTGATGGTACAAAACAATAGCCATTCAGTAGAAACCTTACTTCCAGTATCCATATAATCATTCTGTTTTTCAGTTTCAGTAGAATATTCGATAAACTATGTAAGATATTTAATACTTTATTATAAAATAGGCTTAGTATTAGATGATTTTGTCCAACTGTAGGCAACATAAGTGTTACAAGTATGTTTTAGGTTGGCTAAGTTAAAACTCTGATATTTGGTAGGCTAGATGTATTAAAAGCATTTTTTATTTAACAATATTTTCAACTTAGGCTGATTTATCAGGACATAACTATCATAAGTCAAGGAGCTTCCGTATTCTACTTTAATTCTCGATGTAATTATATTGATACATATATTTTATTGCTTAAAAATATCTTTAAACTTAATTAAATTTGTAACGCTTTAAGGCACATTGAAATAAAAATACTGAGAATGATTTGTGTTTGGAGGAAACCCCAAAGAACATATTAAAAATTGTTTAAGGTGCCTGTTACGTTTAAAGTTTGGTATTTTTTTCTGATTAAGTGCATACCTATTTAAGACTATTGAAAAAAATTTTTTTTTCTAAAATTTAAAGTAAACCAAATATGATAAATTTAGTGACCCTCGTTGTCTTTCAGGTGACCACAGTAAGTTTCTTTCCTTTGGCCAATAGTTTTAAACTTCCTTTTTTTCTTTTCCAAAGTAAGAAATACTATTTATGTTTTTTGACTAAAGTAAAAATTTTTGTAAAAATTTGCAAAATAACATTACCCTTATTGTATAACATGCACTCAGGTTTCTTACGTTCTTCCATTCATTTTCATTTAAATATAAATTTATAGGGGTCATAATCACCTAAATTGGTTTTATAACACACTAAGAACATAGTTTATTTTTCTGTAAAAATGAGCGTCTTGACCTTCTAGACATTTCAAGCTTAAAAATACCATTATTTAAAGCTTTTCTTTTCCTCAGCCTAACAATAATTTACTAATTTTCTTACAAACTCTTATTTTCTTTTTTAAATTAAGGTTTGGTGTCTGCTTGATTGGTGTAAGGAGGGAAGATAATAAAAACATTTTGCTGAATCCAGGTCCTCGATACATTATGAATTCTACAGACATATGTTTTTATATTAATATTACCAAAGAAGAGAATTCAGCATTTAAAAATCAAGACCAGCAGAGAAAAAGCAATGTTTCAAGGTCATTTTATCATGGACCTTCCAGATTACCTGTACATAGCATAATTGCCAGCATGGGTAAGTATTAAAAATTTTGAAAATATAATTAATTTATTCCTAAAATAAAAATAATGACAAATACAAATACATTTCAATTTTTATTAAAAGTTTAAAGGCAAATTTTAAACATGCTGTATTTTACAAAGTAGGTATGATTAGGTATACACGACAGTATTTCTAAGTTGCAATTTTTTTTTTAAATAAGATATTAGCCTGTTAGCCTACTGTGGTTGAATGTAGCTATAATGTCACCTATTCTGGAGGCTGAGCTGGAAAAATTTCCTGATCCAGTAGTCTGAGAACAGCCTGGGCAACATAGAAAGACCCTGTGTCCAAAAAATAAAATCAATCTGAGATATTACAAAAATACTGCCAACAATCATTTTATATTTCTGATTGTATAATAAGCACCATACACTTTTATATTTCTTTTGTAAGTTCTCTTTGTAATTATCACCAACAGAGGCTATTTCAAATATTCTTCATTTTTCTCAAAATTCTCTTTCCATCTCCCACCTCACTCTCACCATTGAACTTGGCTTCTATGACATAGAAGAAAAAAGATAAAAGAAAAATACCTCCATGCAAATAAGAATTTCTTTACAATTTTGCTACCTAACCACCTACAAACATTTAGTATCTGTCACAAGGAAAATGTGCCCTTTTTAACTAACACAGATACATTTATTTATTCCATGGGCCATGCTCTTGTTCCTCCTCAGAGACTTTACTCTTTAATCCATCCTCATTACCTAACTTCATTTTCTATTCAGAATCTCTCCCCTCTGCCCTCTGCCATCTCCCATCTCCCATCTCCCGTCTGCCCAGTTGAGTGTGACATCTGCAGTCATATCTCTGAAACTATTTTGGCAAGGTCACCACTCTTCTCTTTGTCACTATATGTAATGATTGTCTTCACAGCATATGATAAGAACGTTGACTATGTTCTTCAGAAACGCTCTAATGCCTTTTTTCCTGCATTGTACACATTTATTTTCCCTGTATGGTCACAACTGTTCTCATGGATTCAATTGTTCATCAACTGATCTTTTCTTTATCTAGAGTATTAACTCAACATCTCTTTAGAGCAACAGGAACTGCCTACTGGTTATTTCTATTTGAGTATTTTGCAGGAAAAACTAACACAGCATATTCAAATTAAACTGATCTGTACCGTCTCATTCAACAGCACCTTTTTCTCCTTCTCTCTCTCGCTCCTTTTTTTTTTTTTTTTTTTTTTTTGCTGAAATGCAGTTGACACCATTATCCTTTGATTTGTAAAGTCACAATTCTGACTTTTCACCAACTTGCTTTTCTTATACCTCATAGTTAACCAAATTCTTTGGAATCTGATCAGTGAATAGCTCCGAGAATCACTCCGTTCTTTCCACGTCCACCACCAGTGTCATCGTGGTCTGTGCCTCCACCCTCCCCTCCGTGATTGTCTTCGTTCCCTGCCCCCAGCCTCGCCACCCTGTCCTCGATTCTACACCCTGCCGTCAGAGTAATACTTTTTAAACAGAGTTTTGATAACATCGTTTTCCTGAATAGTCACTTGCTTTCTCTAACTTTTATAATGTGACATAACTTATAAATAGGATAACCGAAAGTTCGTGTTTGCACTACGCAATCCCAGTTTTCTGAGGAATGTTCCAGTTTCTTAGTATTGCTCCAATTTTTATAATTGTCCTGATGTGATTATTAAACACAACCCCTTTTACTCTTCAGCATCAGAAAATAAATTAGTCACTTTTTAAAGAGGCTTTTTATGAATGGTATTTTCTGACTTTTCGGATCCCACATTTTACCACCCCTTCAACTGTTCTCCTAAGCTCCAGTCATACTTACTTTCTTTCAGTTTTTCGTCATTGGGCCCTAACACAGTAAGTTTCCTCTGACAGGCACTACACCCCATACCCCAACATGGCTAAGTAGTGACTTCTAATCCTTTATGTCTCAGTCTAAATATCACTCCCTCCAAACACTATTCCATGGTTCTACCTAGACTTTCTTAGGTAACTCTATTTGTCATTGACGTATTTTTATTTTACAGTAGCAATACTCAATGTACTCAAAAAGTATTTATTGATTACCTAATATGTGCCCCGAAAGGTATTTGTTGAGTACGTAATATGTACCCTGAAAAGTATTTATTGAGTACCTAATATTTACCAAGAACTGTCATAATTTTTTGTGATAAAACATTACTGAAGAAACAAAGATGCTTAGTTCCCAAAGCAGATATTTAAAAAAGTAAATTAGTATATTAGTGAGTTATAAGTTAAAAGGGAAAAAGTAAAAGAAGGAAGCAGAGCTAGTATAGGAGATAATTAATTTTGGGAGGAGTGGATTTTTAAATGAAGTGGTTAGTAGGCCAGAAGGTGATGTTTGAGCAAATACTTGAAGGAAATGAGGAATTCGTCCTCTGGAGGTCTGGAGAAAGAGCATTCCTGGCAGAGACAATAGCTGGTGCAAAAGCCCTAAAGTGAGAGCCTGGCGGGGCTCCAGGAACAGTCAAGAGGTCCTTGTGCTGGAAGAGTAGCAGGAGCTGAAGAGCAACAGGTAGAAAGAGGCCAGATCCTGCTGGACTTTCTGAGTCCCTATGAGGACTGCAGCTTCTGCTCTCACTGAAGTGGGAATTATTGCAAGGTTTTATGTAGAGCCATTGACCTGATCTCAGCTGTGCTGACTTGTTTCAGTACTCGACTCGGGCTGCTGTTGAACATAGATGGTTTGGAGCAAGGATCAGACTCTTTTCAAGTGGAAGTGGTAAGAAGGAGAAAATTTTGGATGTACTTGGAGGATAATCAGGATTCCTTAAAAAATGGAATTGATACTGTGAAGAAAAGAGAAGTGTGAAGAAATAGAAGGGTTTTGGATTAAGCAACTCGACAAGGAATGGCCATAAATTGAGAGGAAAAGCTAGGGGAACGCAGGTTTTGAGAGGTCAAGGGAAGATAAAGAGCAATTTGGATCACCTCGAAGATGTCTAACAGGAAGTTAGATATAAGAGTCTAGATTTCAGGAGAAAGAGGGAGAGAGACCCACGAGGAGGTATCGGCAGGGTCGTAGGAAAACCAGATGAGTGAGGTGTTCTGGAATCCACATGCGCTAAGTGCATCAGGAGAACAGCATGGTAAGCCACGTCTAATGCTGCTGATAGGTCATATAACTAAGGACCGAGAGGTGTCAATGGAATTTAGCAATGTGTGATCATTGTTCACCCTGATAGGAGTTGTTTCAGTGGAGTGGTGGGGGACAATGCCAGATTGGAGTGGCGTTGGGAAAGAATGACAGAAGACAAATGAGGAACAGTCTAGATCTGGACAGCTCTTAAAACACCTGACTGCCGGAAGGAGAAAACAAATGGCTCTGTACTAGTGTTGAAATAGAAAGAAGTAATAGAGGCAGAGAGATTGAGGCTTTGTGTAATAGATTGTGTGTAATTATAAGCCATGGAACTTAATTTAAGTAAGGAAGTGAAAAGATGTCTTTTGGTTTAAAAGCACTGAAAGGAGAGTGGGTTAATCGATTCTTATTCCAGTGAAAATCAAGAGGCAGAGAGCTGGAAAGACAAGGTGCAGGTGTCAGAGAGTGAGATGCCACAAGGAGAGAAGATGGGCAGCAAGTAATGATTATGAAAGCGAAGGTGTGGCCATGAGCAGGAATGACTGACAGTGATAGAAGAAGCCACTGCTCGCGGGGAGGACAAGGAGCTGGGTCTGGAGTGTTGGAAGGAACATCTATGTGTGTAGTGAAAACGGCCAAAAATCAGGACAGACGAGGAGGAGAGACTCATAATGATGCAACAGCTAAGCTGCCCATGTGTATTCAGTTGCATAGGTATAGATGTGGGGAACATGGAGAGTCTTAACGTAAGCAGGGTTCTATTTTGTCAGGAGGGTGGACTGAAGCAAAGATATATCAGGGGATCCAGGGGTCTATGCAAGAAAATAATCATAATGCTTAAACGTAGGTAATTTGGAATTTAAGACAGGTAAGAAGAGAAGAGAGAGGATCAAACTATAGTATCATCAGTAGAACTGAAGTTCCAGCATGGTAAAATCATAGCTAGAATTGAGAAATCAGTGAGAGTGACCTGAAATGACAAGAAATAGTGGTGGTCAAAGGGCGAATGCCTAAAAATATGTGCAACATTGTTATTACTGGTTATAACAAGGTCTAAAAAAAGGACTGTGGAAGTGAAGGGCTGAGATAAGGTAATATTTTCTTCAGTTCACGTTATTATAATGAAGAAGAAGGTTGGAAGGTCAGAGGTTTGAGGAAAGCAGAGTTTTAAACAATCATGTCCCGCATCAAGACAATTCAGTCAGTGATGGTATGGCATGCAGTGGTAGTCCCGTAGGACTGTAATACTGTATTTTTACTGTACCTTTTCTATGTTTAGGTTACCATTGTGTTACAGTTGACTACAGCATTCGGTACAGTAACACGCTTACAGATTTGCAGCCTAGGAGCAGTAGGCTACACCGTACAGCCTAGTAGAGTAGGCTGTCTCCTCTAGGCTTGTATAAGTATACTCTGCGATGTTTGAACAAAAAGAAATCACCAAATGTTATATTTCTCAGAACATATCCCCCTTTTTAAGCAACACGTGGCTGTAATTGTTTCAAAGAGTGGGACAAAGTAGAGACTGATGACTTAGAAAGATGACCACATGCCACTGAGTGCATAAATGAAACAAATAATCGTGCAATATGATGGCGTTAATCACTATTTTCTCTAGGAGAGGGACCTCGATTTTTCATAAATCAATATTAAAATTGATTTTTAAACTTCAGTAAAAATCACAAAGGGAATTGCTGCTTCTACCTACCATTCCTTGAGCGCCTCAAGTATTTAATAGCCCTAAGCCACTTGGCCTAGGCTTGCCATTCTTACTGTCTCCAGATACTCCCATGACTTGTGTGTTCCTTACTGTACTGCAGGTCAGAAATCAAATGTCCTAACTTAACAGTGTCCTTCTTACCGAATCAAAGTTCTGTTCCTCTCCCTGCACGCTACTTATCTCTATCCACAATTACCCATTTATTTGTCTCCTTGCTACGTATGGGTTTCATCATGCAGAAGCTTTGTTGTCTTCTCTACACATTTCAAGTACGTGGAACAGTGCTCCCCGTATGTGGCAGCCAATAAATGCTCATTTAATAAAAAATAAATGTAACATATCAGCAGTCCTGGTATTTTGAAAAGTAATCACAAATCAATTACAAAAAGTTAGCTCAGTAGGAAAGGGGGCTCCTGAACCCAAGAGGCAGACGTTGCAGTGAGCTGAGATTGTACCACTGCGCTCCAGCCTGGAGGCTAGAGTGAGACTCTGTCTTAAAAAAAAAAGAAAAAAGAGGAAGAAGAAGAAAGAAAAGTGAGGAAAGACATAATGAGAAATTCACAAAATGGACATGGTTAACAACAAAAGAATAAATTTTAAAGAAATATAAATTGGAACATCAGGGCATACTTTTTCACTTTATGTTTCTATATACTTCAGGATTTTACAAATGTTGTGTTTTGTGCTATAGAGCACCACTCTGCAAGTACACTTTTATGCAAATAGAGATTTTTCTTGTCCAGGGAAATGTCCATGTGCAAAAGAAATATTTAGCTGTCAGAACTAAACATACACGTGCGCGCACACACACACGAAAATATATACTATATATATCTTGATTATGTTCATTATATTTCATATTTCATTTAACTTTCTATAGTAGTGATCAATATGCCAAACGCCTTGATGAATTTTCGTGTTTTATTATTTTAGGTACTGTGGCTATAGACTTGCAAGACACAAGCTGTAGATCAGCAAGTGGCCCTACCCTGTCTCTTCCGACAGAAGGAAGTAAAGAAATAAGAAGACCTAGTATTGCTCCTGTTTTAGAGGTTGCAGATACATCATCAATTCAAACATGTGATCTTCTAAGTGACCAATCAGAAGATGAAACTACACCAGATGAAGAAATTTCTTCAAACTTAGAGTATGTTCAGATACTCTAAGGTGTAATATTACTGGGTTTTGTGCTAACATCCTTAAGTATTTTCTTTAGGTACCTTTCTGATAGGTAAGGAGCTAATGATCTTTCCTTCTCAACATCCTAGAATCATTCCTATATACTTCAACCAAAACACACCACTAGTGGCCAGTATATTCTTAACTGCAGAGCATAATAATCCCTCAGCTTTCTGGCTTCAACATATATTTCTGGTCTCTTAATTATCCTTTATCCTCAAGGAAAAAAAGATATAAATCAGTGTTCCCAAGATATAAACTTCAATTTCATAATTATATGCTTTTTATAGTATGTCGTACTTTATACTTTGGATTTATTTTATTACACATCGTATTGAAGTTCAATCAGTTACTCAGTGAAAGGTAAATGCAGCCCCTACATTAAGCTTTCCTTACGTATCTTCATGTTCAGCACTTTGATAGTGTGCATTAGTTAATATTTCAAATGTATGAATAAAATTACTGTTTCCCTTTCCTAAGCTTTCATAATTAATAGAGTACCAATCTATGTAGTATTAACCACATTGTAGCCTGCAGTAGAATTTTTTTTACATGTCTTCCTCCACATATTAAATTGTCATTCTTCAGAAAACACAGCTGTGCACAGCCTTGACTGTGGAGTCCTAACTGCATTGTTTGCCACGCCAGTTCCACTTTGTATTTATTGACTCTGTACAAGTGACTTTAAAAACAGGCCAATAATGTATTTACCTGTAAATGGGGCATAATTACTACTTCATAAAGCTATGCAGTGATTAACTGAGATAATGGAGAAAAAGTGCTTATGCCAAAAGAATGTTTTGTGCAGAGTAAGCATTCAATTAGCATTAATTACTGTTAGTCATAGTACGGGTACGGCATTGGTAACATAGTATCTTAACATTTCTTCCAGGATCTTTCATAAAATGTAAGTTCAAGTAATGTTGAATTCAACTAAAAAGAATTTAAATATTATTGAAGCGTGAAAATATTCTTTGCTTTAATTTCTCACACTCAAAAAATTGTTGTAAGAAAGGTTGATGCACCCACGAAACAAAGTATGCTCTCCAAAGAAATTAATGGTCAGAATCCTCAAATATACTTGGAATCTAGGATGGGAACAGGGAGAGGTTTGGCAACAGTGTCTTCACAGGAAACAGTGTTTTGGAGTGCGATTGAAATTCTTTCTTTACACTTCTTAAAATCTAGAAAAATGAAAGATGTTGCAGTAATTATGGAGATTACCCATTTCTAAATTTAAAAAATTTTACCCTCTAATTTTATCTTTCAGCCAATAAAGTTTATGTCCTGAAAACACTGATTTGCATCTCTTCTTTAAGGATAAAACAGTTTTAACTAGGTCTGTAGTGTTATGGCTTAGCAGGTACATTTGTTAAAATCAAACACTTCCTTACTTGGGGATAAGGGGATATTCTTTTCACTGAATTTTATTTAATTGCGTATTTTTTATTTATGCTGCTGCTACATTTTAGAAGTTTCATTCTGAAAGTCAGTATAGCCGAAATATGCAGGTGGCTGTTTTTCAGAAGTCAGCAAGTGAAATGTCTATGATAATGTTTTAAGCATGATTCCAACAAAAACTCTGTTGCTAAGCAATTAACTCTGTTATTTGCTCCCTTTTGGTTATGTATTTATGGCTAATGAATATTGATAGAGCAAATCATAACAATGTGTTTTGCTTTAAATGTATTTTGTAAAAATTAACACTACCTTTTTTTTAAATGAAAATCTTCTAAGATGAGAGCAAATTTTTTCTAGAAAGGAACAACCAGTCAATATTTCAGGCTTTTTGATCCCTGTTGCAGCGACTAACTCTGTTACTAAAGCACAAAAACACCCATACACAATACATACATAAATGAGTGTGGCTGAATTACAATAAAGCTTTATTTATAGATACTGAAATTTGAACTTCATTTAATTTTTACTTGACATGAAATACTCGTTCGATTCTTTTCAACCATTTAAAAATATAAAAACAACCCTCAGCTTGCAGAACCATGCGGTAGGCCATATTTTATCTAGGGGCCACAGTTTGCCTACCTCGATTCTTAACTGCCTCTTTATCAAAATATAATTGTAACACGGTTATTGATATATTGTGATCAAAACAGAGGAACATGACCATAACTTAATTTCCCAAATCTGCATGCCTTATTCAAGGGTAATATTTTGTATTTTTTTACAGGTATGCTAAAGGTTACCCACCGTATTCTCCATATATAGGAAGTTCACCCACTTTTTGTCATCTCCTTCATGAAAAAGTACCATTTTGCTGCTTAAGATTAGACAAGGTAAGCACTTGTTGCTAAAAGAAATGAAAATCAGAGAAAATTAATTTGTAAAAATGTGTCCCTTGGGTCAGGCGCAGTAGCTCATGGCTATAATCCCAGCACACTGGGAGGCCAGGGTGGGCGGATCACTAGGTCAAGAGATCGAGACCATCCTGTCCAGCATGGGGAAACTCCACCTCTACAAGAAAAAAAAAATAAAAATAAAATTAAAAAGTTAGCTGGGCTTGGTGGTATGCGCCTGTAGTCCCAGCTACTTGGGAGTCTGAGGCAGGAGAATTGTGCGAACCCGGGAGGTAGAGGTTGCAGTGAGGTGAGATAGCACCACTGCATTCCAGCCTAGCAACAGAGCTAGACTCCATTTCAAAAAAAAAAAAAGCATACCTTGATGTCCTCTTGCAGCAAGGTTTAGTTTACAATAAAACAAGGCCTGGTGCGGTGGCTCACACCTGTAATCCTAGCACTTCGGGAGGCTAAGGCGGGTGAATCACAAAGTCAGGAGTTCAAGACCAGCCTGGCCAAGATAGTGAAACCCCATCTCTACTAAAAGAAAAAAAATTAGCTGGAAATAGCTGCAGGTGCCTGTCATCCCAGCTACTCAGGAGGTTGAGGCAGAGAATTTCTTGAAATCGGAAGGCAGAAGTTGCAAGCAGAGATCACGCCACTGCACACCAGCCTGGGCAACAGAGCGAGACTCCATCCCAAAAAAAAAAAAAAGCACACATACAAATTGTTGACTCTTTCAACATCAGGCTACAAACCAGCAGTTCATTTTTCTTGTCCATGCACACTTTTATTTTTTACTGCAGATTGCAGAAATGGGCATAGAAAAATGTAACTATTTTCAAATTTGTTAGAAAATAAGTATTTACATGGTGAAATTAATTTTACATTTTCATATGTCTCAAATATTTTCACCAAATTTTAATGGAATATAAAAATGCCATTTCTTTGTATAATTTTTCTTCTCTAGAGTTGCCAGCATAACTACTATGAGGATGCAAAAGCCTATGGATTCAAAAATAAACTAATTATAGTTGCAGCTGAAACAGCTGGAAATGGATTGTATAACTTTATTGTTCCTCTCAGGGCATACTATAGACCAAAGAAAGAACTTAATCCCATAGTACTGCTATTGGATAACCCGTAAGTATATTTTAAGATACACAAACAAGACAAACTTTTTAATATTATATTAATGTATATCAGAAATAATTGCCTGTAATATGCTGATAGTATTTTAAATCAGATACATTATGGTAAATGATCCATTGGGAGATAATATGCTGTGCTGTGATACAAATATATCATTGAATATGATTATGTTTCAGAAGTACTACTTAAAATATCACTGGGATATTCTGAGAATTTTATTTAAAACTACTGTGCAAGTGATCATCTACTCATAATACCACAGGAAACAGGCCACTGAAATAATTACTGCAATTTTCCTTAAATTAATCAACTAAGCCTGACAAATCTCTGCCAAAACTGGACAATTTTTTTTGTCTTTCTAAAGAACCATTAATTATCAGAAAAGCATTTACTGATCCATTTTTATATGTTATAACAAAAAGCATCATCATAAGTTATGATTGGACCACTGTTAAACCATATATTCTATAACATAATAGGAGTTATGCTTTACCATGTACATTTATTTTGAAAATATTGGATTGGTTTGCTTTTGTTAAATAAGACTACTTAAGCATTTCAAAATTCTTATGCAAAAATAAATATAGGTCATTGAATGCAACGGTCAAAGCCATTTTATTCTAAAATAATAATACCCGTCTGTTTGACTGGAAATTAGTAGCAGGTGTCTTTCGATTAATACCATATTTTAAAATTCTCTCACTCTCCTCTTCCATTCCAATGTCTTGCAAATGTGAAGATGAACTATTAATAAATGAGGCAAAATTCCGTTGCTTCTCACTGCCTTTCAAAATTATCAAAAGAAGTTTCTCATATGGGAGACATCTCCTCGGTACATTACAACTTTATGTGTTGGTTATTCTGACTATACCAGTATCAAAATACTGATGCAACTTTCTTAGCATCATCACTTTAAGAATAATCGACTCCAGAAATTTAGCACACTCGTAGAATTTTCACTTGAAGAATTTTCAGATATGATTACTCAATGACTTTTTCTGTACCTCTTTGGCATCTAAGGAAAGCTGAGGCATATTTATGGTAAATGTAGAGGAACAGAAACCTGGACCAAATTTTAGAAGAAATAGAAGCTTGTTAAAATACATTTTAGAACAATCAAAGTTGCGAGTGGTGTGTCTGTGGCAACACAGTGGTTGTAAATCACTTCTTTCAAACATAGCCTTAATTCTGAAGCATCTCTGGTAGGAAGCTCTGGGGAATTGGCTGAGCTGCCACACGAGAGATGCCTGACTATGTGCGTTCAAATGTGTCAGCTTTGACTTCTTGGGTTTATGATATATCCACTGTCCTGAAAGTAGAATTTAAGGCAAGGGCATTTGCAAACATTGCTTAGAGTAGCTCCTACTTGTATGGCTTGGATCAAACTGGATCAATTTAGGTACCAGGTTACAGACAGGAAGAAAGGAAGTGGCTTGAAAAAAAGTGGAACTGCTTACAGCATCCTTCTGATAGGACTAAGGAGAAAATTGTATTTTCCTCCTCTTTCCATAATTTCAAGATAGTTTCTTTTCCTGAAGTGTACACCTCCCTGCCAAAAATCAGTCTCTTCATATTTGGGCCTGGAGTTTACTCTATGAACAGAAATGGGCTCCTCATTTTCAGTCTCCAGTCTTGTTAAGTAATCTTATCTCAAATCTCTTAAGTCTTCATTTCCGACATCAAGCAGGTGGCAGGACCTCAGAAGCGCTCTACATCTGATGTAGATTAGGAGTGCTTCACTTGTAGGTCTGAGGTAGATTTTAGAGTAGCTGTAACCAAATCAATCCCTTTCTGTTTGGTTTTGAATAAACAGGTTACAAAAATGTCTGTTACTGAATGATTGATTTGTGTATTCAGATTATAAAATAAATTCTGTGATTGATCAAGGCATGAAAGAATGAACTGTATAGCCAGTCTTCATTCCTTGATCAATCACAGACTAATCTGAAAACTACTTCTCCTGATTACTGACAACTGTATTTCTGTATAAACATAGATGTGACTTTTATCAGAGAATAATTCATTTGAATAAAACCATAAGGATTATTCAATAAAGTTAATATTACTTACCTCCATCCTGTATTCATAATTATAATGACTATTGATCATTTACTACATGCCAGTCATTATACTACACAATTTATTTTTCATTCTAGTCCCACAAGTCACATATTTACAATACATGTATAGTGATGATTTAGTCTTAGACAGATGTGCCAAGCAGTTTAAAATCTCAAATTACCATGTTAACATTTAAATAAACTGAAAGCTGTGTGACATGGCCACAACACTTGTCTCTTATTTTAAGAGGATATAACAGAGACACAAAGAAGGTGAATGACCTTTTTCATGGCCATTGCTTGAATTAGACCTTTCTATGAAATTTCTATTTTATTTTTCTTTCAACTTACAGGTTTTCGATATATGAAAAAATGTATATTGCTTGCTCATTCTTTTTGAAAACAAAAATATGTCTTAACTTTGAATTATTTTTGCATTAAAAGTTCCCTTTGCCTTCCTAATGGTTTACATTTTGGAATCTTAACAATTTATGTTATATTGTTATTCAATAATTCTTGCAGGATTTGACTTTATTTCAAAGGGTTAGGTTGAAAGTGCATGCTGTAAAATATATTAGCTTTCTGTGTACTTCCTAAAAGTATGTCTGATATTCTTATTTGTTGTCCTCTGTTCCTTTGGTTCAGAATGAGGAAACTAAAACTAAACACCAATTAATAATGTTCCAGGAAGTTTTATGCAATTCTTTTTTTTTTAAGCAATGAGATGCCTGTCGCTCTGAAATGCATAGCATTTTGCAGTCTATCCTTCATTATCACAAAGGAATATGAGAGTTTCTTCTTGACAGTATTTTCATGTTATAGGAATTTGTACAGCGATGACCGCATGCACTTCATTGTATTAGTGTAACTAATTAGAATTATTAGTTAGAATTATTAGTTAGTTTTGAGAGTTTTACTTTACATTCACATGAATACTGCTGAAAATAGTATTTAGTATGTGGCTATTTAAAAAAATTAGTTCAAAGGCCAGTTAATTCAATAGAACAGAAATAAATAATAGCAGATGTAATAAACATTGAATTTTAAAATGTGAATTACATTTATAATATTCATACACATAATATGACAAAATCAGTGTTTACGATGTTTCCGAATAGAAAGCTTTCTAGATCTCAAATGGTAATTAAATAAAGTTCGCTCATATTGAAAAACATCTTTCAGCTGGTACTGCTTGTTTAGAGCTGGTGTCACTTCTGATTGGTTGGCCATCTGTTCTCTTTGATCTGTTGTGCCATACTGATTTTAAATATTTTGATTACCACCCCAGATTTAAAGGTCATCTAGTCATTTTTAACACCATCTCATGTGAAAGATAGCAAAGCAAGTCAAAAGCTAGAATATATTACCCAAAGCCACATAAGGATGAAGTAAAAAATCCAGGGTTTTGCTCTTAATATTTATCAAAGTGTTATTTACACTATCCATTTATTAAATCAACCATCTTTCTACATAATGGCGCCAAGTACACTTTAGCTTATTTTAAAATTAATGAGAAAATGCCCATGTCACTGTTCTTATTTTTAAAATTCAAACTTCAGACTCATTCAGATCTGAGATAAGTTCTAAGTTTATTCTCTTGATAGGTCTGTTAAATGCTACTGAGTCTTTTTAGCCACATATTTCTGATGTGTAAAATGGTTAAAACATTTATCTTAAATAGTTACTGTGAGATGATGTAGATAATGTATATAGAATCCTAGCGCAATATCTGGCTCATAAAAGGAAGACAAGAAATATCATTTTTTTTCTGCTGTGAATCAGGAAAAGAACACAGTTATTCTTCAACCTGATGTAGGGATTTATATGAAAACCCAATTAATAAAAAAAGGACATTTATTTAAGTAGTTAAAATTAAATTACTTTTATATTGTCTAGCAAGGAATAAACTTCTTTAAAGTGGAATTAGGAAATGTTAACAAAATAAACTGTGCTCATAAAAGCATATTATACTACTTCTTGAACTTGAAATAAATTAAATTTTTATTGTTATTAAATGGGAACTAAATAATGGTTGTGAATTTTACAAATTCATACAAATTTGTAAACCCTTTTTTTTTACTTCCTAACAGTCACTGACTAATATTTGAATGGCAACTTTTATTATGAGAATTTCTGTAAGAATATAAGGCTTTGGCTCATAAGCAGTCATCTTTTTTAATAGAATTACAGTTAGGACTCATTAATGAATGTGCTCATTTTTCTTCTGTTTACTAACTCAGTTACTTTTTGTGTTTGTTGAATTTTTATTTTGTTTATTGCCAGTTAGTTTAGCCTGTGTCGTTTTGTTTAGTTTTGGTCCATGTATATGTATTCCTTCTGGATATATTTTTTGGTCATGTTTATCTTTTTCATTAATTACAAAATACTTCTTTATGTACTAAGCAACTTTGGTTTACAAATTTGATATAAGTAACAGTTTTTTGACATTCATTCCTTATTAATCTGTTTGTAATAAACTATATAGTTAAATCTGTCAATTATTTTCACTAATTTTCCTTAATGTAATTCCTAATATAAATAAGTCTTCTCTATTTAGTAGTCAGATTTTTTAAAATGCATACATTTTATTCTACATAATTGTTTTTTAAATATAAAACCTCATCGGTACCTTGGGGACACAATGTAGGAAAAGGACATTTTTGGAGTGTTTTATGTTTTGCTTAATGTTTTTCAATAATAATGCTTCCCAATATAAAGGTTATACTTGCCAATTAGCTACCTCCCAAAAGAATTAAAAAATTGTTTTATTATGAGCCTATAATGTCATTTATGTTACTCAATTACTAAGCAGGTTGGGTGCCATGAAGACTGTTGACAACGTATTTAAGTGAGCTGGCATAATACGTGTAAATGCAGAATTTATTCTTTACATTTCAGATTTCCATTTAAGCTATCTTTTTCAATAGCTGC